CATTATAAATTATAATTATTTGATTTTTAATTTTTCAGTGAAGAAAAATCAAAACCAGTCATCGAATATTGTTAAAAAATTTAAAAGACCAGTTAATTATTTTTGAATTTGGAAAATAATGGGTAAATAATCGTTTATTTAACATTTGATTAAATGGTTATGATACTATGAGCGTAAATAATAATTAACGAATAATTAATTATTGACCAAATAATATATTTGATCAAATATTGATTGTTAATATGATAAGGCAAATGAAAGAAAGAATTTAGAGATGCATTGATAAACGAATTTGTTAAAACCGCAAACTCTATTTGTTTATATAAATCGATAAAAGTATAGCATTATTTCTTGTTTAGCTCAAATATAATTATAATTATTCTTTTTAATGATTTTTCATTATTTCCGTTTTGAAAGAAACGGAAATAATGAAAAATCATTATTTATTTATAATTTGTAATAAAACGTTAAAAATTAATTTTAACTAAAAAATAAGTTAAAATAACAAAATGTCAAAGTTTTATTGCATTTAAAAGAAGAGAAGGAAAAAATTTAGATGAACATTTTTACTGAATAATCACATATTTTGATCATTCATGTTTACTACGGTAATGATCTTTGAATTCTTAATTGTGATAAATTTTCGAAAAAGTTAAAATATCAGATGAAATTTTATTGAAGCTAATATTATATTTATTTAATTAAAACAACTGAAAAATATATTTTATTGGCTTATTTTTATTGTTATTGTTTTAAAAAAAATTGTAAGCTCCTTCTCTTTCCGGAACTTTGGGTATTGATAATAATTTGTAACAAGTTAATCGGAAATACAAGGGTGAAAGAAAAAACCGGTAGGGAGGAAAAGAAGAGCATTTCTGTTGTTGTGTTTAAAATTGATGAACGCTGAAAAAATATCTATTTCAGCAGAAAAAAAATATGAAAGAAAGGAAAGAAAAGGCGAAAGTGGTAATTTTAAAATGATACTGTTTCGTATATTTATAAATTAAATAATTACTAATTGCAATTGTAACAATTGTTTTATCATATATTAACATAAAATTATTCATTTTGATAATGCGCAGCAATTTATTTTATTTTTTTATAACATAAATTTAATAGAATCGAAATTAATGAAGAAAGGATGAGAATTTGATTTGAAACGAAAAGAAAAAAAAAGCAAAGTTTAATTGCAGTCATTTGTTTTAATCTTCCTTTAGCGAGACATTTTCTTTCAATTTTTTTTTTGTAAAAGAAAAAAAAACCGGAAAAGGAAGTAAAAAAATACTAGAATTAACTGATGCGAAAAATTATATTTTCTTCAAATAAAATGATTTTTTTTTGCTATTTCTTAAAATTTCACATTAACTTCGTATAAGCTTATTTTTATATTTATTAAATTTTTTCTTGACCATAAATAATTATTGAGTAATAAGCATATCGATAAGTAAGTCGAAAATTAACGGTACGATTTACGATCCAACCTAGAAATCTAATGATGTTATCAGCTTATTGAATCAAATTCTACTATATAATTAAATTATCTTAATTATAACGATTATCTCTTAATTGTTATCATTTCATGAGATTCTTCGATTTTATTTACTTATATATTTACTTATATAATATTTCACCTATAAATCTTTTCAGAATTACATATCTGGTCAATTTATATGTATTAGGATAATACTGAAAAAAAATGGTTGCATTATTTAAAACAATAGCAAATCAACTAAATGTAAAAAGCTTTTATATGAAATAATCGATTGCTTAAATTAATTTACATTTTCTTAACTTAATTTGAGTTAAATATTTCAAGTAATATTACAAGAGAATATACAAATTCAATTATTGCAGGCAATGTTTGTAACGGGAAATCGGCAACCAATTGATTGCCTTTTTATTGAAAGTCTTCGATCAAATGGATGGCAAGTATGTTCACTTTTTCTATCCTTAAATTCTATTTTTTTCCTTTTCATTTTTAATTTGAAATTTTAGAAAGTTAAAAAAAAATTTTTTTTTCAATTTTTTTAATGAAGCGCATGGTTTTTTTTTTACGTTCAAGCTTTTTTTTTTCAGGTTGTTAAAACGACAGCAGGTGTTGCAGAAATTAATTATGAACAACAAAAACCATTATTAATTCTAGTAGATATTCGTCTATCTGATATTGCTACCTTTGTCAAGTAACGTAATTTATCGTTTCAAAACAAAAATTTTTCAAATTTTTTAAATGGAATCCGGTTATTGATAATTTATTAAGGATAATTTTTTCAAAAAGTGTGGAAATATTAGTCAAAATATGATCAAATTTTTTACTTTTAAAGGAAAAAATTAGCAACAAAAGAGTTATTTAATTTCATCTGTTAAATTTTAATCGCTTATTAAGCTAAATTCTAATTACAATAATTTTCTCACTTTTTTCTTTTTTTTGTTCAATCTGTTAAAGAAATTTAAACTTGGATCTTTTTGATTTATCACAAAAATCTAATCCAAGTAATACACTTCTACTTACGATAAAATTGTTTCGAATTATTAAATCCGGTTTTTTGGGGGCAAAAAATACTCTTGGAAATTAATTTTAAATCTGATAAATTTTTGAGAAATTTAATTTAAAATTTTTTTTTGCATCAAGCGATTTTGAAGTATCCAAATTATCGAGCAATTAACCTTTT